CGGGAGCGCTGCTGCGCTCCCAGTGCCGCACTCTCCCGAGTGCGCCACGGGCTCGGCCCCTATTCCAGTTTTCTTAGAACTATGCTAAACACTGTAATTGCTAATATTTTCATTTTATTTAAAAAAATGCTGATGTTTAATAGCCAAAAATGATTAGTTGGACATACTGTGAAAGACCTTTTTATTTGTTTTTGTATCCCAGGATCTTGTGCAGTGTTTGGCAGAAAATGAGTACAGTACTTTGAACTGATAAATATTTCTAAGAATTCCTTAGATCTAGAAACTTGAGACTAAACCCTGTAAAATAATGAGGATAAATACTGTAACTATCTCACCTCTCTTAGATACCTTCCTGCCTCTCTTATGCTAGATGAGGAAAAGGAAGGGAGGTATGTCAGGGTCTGCTCCAGCTCTACCTCAGGAGCATAGGCCAGAGAACAGCTCCAAAGACTGTGCTAGAACCCCTTCCATGCAACTTCACAACTGACAAAAATGCCCAGATTGTTGCAGGGAGTAGAGTGAGATGTCTTGTCAGTTCATATCTGGGAAGGTGAGAATGCAAGTAGAGAAATGATTAACATGGTCTATGTGCTACACTAGGCAGATCTGAGATATGCTTTATGGTTCTACACATGGGCGTCATCAAGCCTACTAACAAGGCACTATCTATAAGAAAACAATATTCACTAAAAGTTTCAAATCAGAGAAAGATTGGCATGGGGTTATTCTGAAGTAGTGTGATTGTCAATCATCCTTTTTAAGTCACATGAGTTATTTGATTTGGCAGATTTATCACTGCTATTTTTTTCCCCAATACTTTCTTCCTTTGAAATGGATTTGGCAACTATAATAATATATGTGAAAATGTACGTATTTTCTTGTGGAAGGCCCACTGGAATTGCATTGAAGCATTTTTCTGGGCCTTCTGCCTCATCACAGCCAAAGCATGTGGCTAAGTCGTCCAGACAAGAATGCAGGGTTGCTGCATCATGGGGTAGCCCAAGGGAGAATGCTGGGACAGAATGACATTTATCAGCAGGAGAGCTAAGTTCTACAATGACCTAAAGGACATGGGGAAATTGAATGGGATCAAGGAACTGAGAGAAAGGCCATGGAGGGTAAAAGTCAAGTGCTATAAGATAAATGGTTGTGGACCCAACGGGCCTGGTGATCTCCAGCAATAAATATGCTTGGGGAAAAAGGGCAGGCAGATGGAAGGGATAAGTGAGAAAAATAATCAAGGGTAAGGAATATACTGAATGAAACAACTGTTCCCAAGAAAGCATTATAAGAAACCAGAAGAAATTTATGAACTGTGAAAGAAGCAAATGCAGAGGAGGGTATTCTCTTTCTCCTATTAACCTACCATAAGCTTCAGAGAGCAGCAAATTGCATGGATTTTGCGAGCCAGAGATCAGTGCAGACCACAGAAGAGTTGCTGATAGGTGGAAGAGGTAATTGATTAATACCAGATGGAACCCTGTTGGGAAATTAAATGTTCCACCTGATTCAAGATTCACAAGGGAAAAAGAGTTCAGATGCCAAAGCCGGAGTAAATTTCCCTGGAGAAAAGGTGACCTTAGAGGGAAGCAGAACAGGTGGCCTTGAACAGGTGCCAGAAATTGCCACATTTGTGTAGTGGAAAGCACACAGGTGTTGAGAGTCCAGCTGGAGGCGAGTTCTAGTCTCAGCTCTCCTACCTACTTTTTAACTTATCTATTACACAACCTTGGGCAAAGTACTTAACCTCTCTGAGTGATTTCCTCACCTACATCTGAATTAGAAACCCTACGTTATACGACTGCAAAGACTTTACTATAATACCTCACGTGAAATGGGTGCTCCACAAATGGCAGCTATTATTGTTGTTTTAAGTCTGAACCAAATTCACAACCAGAGATAAACTGAGATAGGGGAATTCTCAGCATTTCCTTGAGCTGGAAAGAGTTGATATCAAGAAAGTTGTAAAAACTCCAATACTACATATTCTAATATTACATATCTAAATATCAAGAATAACAGCTGAGCTCTAATTACATTGCTTTTCATTTAGAGAATTTTTGTCTCTGTACAAAATGTGTTTTTTAAAAAATCCATCGTGCTCTTCTGTGTTTTCCAAATTGCTTTTGTCATTGAGCACATAATACATTTAGAATTAGGAAAAAAGAAGTTATTTTAAATAGGGGAGGGTGGAGAGACAGACACACTATCTGCTACTGCAAGACAGCCTGAACACCTGATGTAAAGTGGCAATGAAGAGAGGGTGATACATCTGAGAAGTGTTTACAAGGTATTCCTGGTGTTCTCTGCCGTCTGTACAAAATGTGTTTTTTAAAAAATCCATCGTGCTCTTCTGTGTTTTCCAAATTGCTTTAGTCATTGAGCACATAATACATTTAGAATTAGGAAAAAAGAAGTTATTTTAAAAAGGGGAGGGTGGAGAGACAGACACACTATCTGCTACTGCAAGACAGCCTGAACACCTGATGTAAAGTGGCAATGAAGTGAGGGTGATACATCTGAGAAGTGTTTACAAGGTATTCCTGGTGTTCTCTGCCGGGAAGTTGTGGATAGCCTTGCCATCATGTGGGCCCGGAGGTTTAAATTATTTTAATACAGTTTTTTTTTTTAAACAAAGAATACAGTTTTAAGAAATCTAGCAATTTTACCTGATAAGGTCCTGAACCCGACTGTTAAAAGCATCACCTTGTGAGGGTTTGTTTTTCATTTCCTGTGTTGATATTTTTGGTGTAGCTGGCCGGCTGTTTCCATCTGGTCGATTGGCAATCAGGCAGCCAAAAACCACAACACTGACTTTGAGAAGTCCAGTTGTCAAGCTTTCAAAAACTTGTTTATTTGCATTTCTTCCCAAAATAGCATTATTTTCATCTGGAACATAAACCTAGATGAAAAAATGTGCAGTAAATGCGTTTCAATAAAACCACCAAAAATGAACAGAGATGATTTAGAACATTTCTGGAATCATAAATAATTTTGAAATTCTATAGATGACAATCTGAAAAGTTCAAGAGTACTTGCTCTGAAGTCAGATTGCTAGTTCAAATTTCAGCTTTGCCCTCACTACCTGGGTGACCTTGGGCAGGTTACTCATTTTTCTCATCTATAAAACAGGGATAATGACAGTACCTATATTATAGAGTTCTTGTGAGGATTAAATGAGCTAATGCACATAAAATGCTTAGCACATGCACAGGCACATAGTAAGTACTCAATAAACATTTATTTAATTGAATAAATTATATTAAATTTATATGAACTCAGAAAATAAAACAATTGATAAGCTGACAGCATTGTTTCTTGTTAGAATGAATCTTTAAAATATCCAAGCTAAATTCCTCTGTTAGAATAAAATTTGCATTTATTATTACAAAATGACAAAATAGTTCTTTTCCTAGTACAAAGGGTCACATTCAGCTCTCTTTGTGTATAGTTTACAGGAAGTAATGTGGTCATTTAATGTTGGGGCTTGGAGCCAGAACCCGGGCTTGTATTCTGGCATTGCAGCTATGTGATCTAAGTTCCTTGCTTTCTGTATCTCCTTACCTCCCAGGACTACTATGAAGTTCAAATAAGAAGAAGTTTGGTAAACTATTATACTCCACAAATATATTTAGTGACAACCAGACTTCGCTTCATACTCACTCTTTACCTATGCCACTTCTATTAAAGATAGAGGAATAAATGATCACTTGGATCCAAAAGGAGGATCTGTATAAATACAAGCAACTTATTGTACAGAACTAGGCAAATAGTCCAATTCAACCACAGGGGAGCCAGGAAATGTCATTCTATCATGTACTTGGAAAGAGGGGGAGAATAAGAACATTTGGTACACAGCATTATTGACCGTACAGTAATATTCATTGTTTTTTTCCATTAGGACTATGCAAATATTCACAGCTAACCTATTTAATAAATGATGATTATATTTACTTTCTTCTTCTTCAAGTTTTTGGTTTCACTGAGGTAACCATTTTTATTTTATGTTGAATTTCCTATTTATGTATCAATTCACAGTCAATCTTTCCGGTTAAAATGAAATTTCCTCTCAAGTTTAAACACATCAAGGATTGTTGATTCCTTTTCTTTCCCCAGTGGAGACACTCTTCCTTAAATCTGTCATCCTCCTGCTCTAATCTGGACTGGCTAATCTTTAGGCCTATTGCACAGCTCTCATTCTGAGATTGTCCCTTCATCTTTGTCCTAAGAATTCCTTTCACCTCTCCCCTGGGTTAGAGTCCCTTATTTCTAGGATCCCATGACTTCTTTTTCTTCCCATATAATTCTCTCATTTTGTTGTAGGATACATTCCAGCAATTTCTTGACAAAGTGTGCATGGAAAGAAACATTTTGAGATCTAATATGTATTAAAATATCTTCATTCTACCCTTACACTTGACTGGTAATTTGGTCGGGTATAGAATTCTTGGTGGGAACTCCTTTTCCTTCAGTTTTGAAGGACTTTTCCACTGTTTTTTACTTAAAGCACTGCTGTTGAGAAGTATACTGTTATTCCTGATGCCTTTGTACATGACCTATACTTTACTCTCTAGAAACTTAGGAACTTCTTATACCTGATTTCCTTCTCCTTAGAATGGATCTTCTTTCATTTTATTGTGTGAAAACTCAGTGATCATTTCAATCATCAAGTCACACATTTCATTTTTGGGAAAATTTCTTGCATTATTTCTTTGCTAATTTCCTCCCATTAATTTTCTCTGTTGGATTTTGAACCCGAATTGAGCCTCTTATTCTCTGCCTATAGCTGACAACTTTTCATTTTCTATTCATTGGGGCTTTGTCCTTAATTTTATAAACACCATTTTGTCAGTTTTGCATAAAGGAAACACAAACTGAAAAACTCCAGTAACCATCTAGCAGTTATAGAAAAAATCTTGTTGCCCCGTAGGGGGAAAGCCTTCCGTATTAGGCTTGCTGGAATAAATCCCAGGATCTCAGACCCAAGTCCATGGGCCTCCTCTATACTGAACAGTCTTTTACTATCTCATCATGGTCTCCTATTTTCCAGCAGTGAACCTCACATCCAAGTCAATCACCTCATCACATGTTTTCATAGGCTTTTGTTTTTTCTAATTTCCTTATTTAGTACAGGCCTTTTCAATGNATTCTATTCAAAGCAGTATGCTGTACTGCTGTCTCATCTAGTTGGATATCACTGTTACTTGACAGAGATAAAATAACTCATGAGCAGCCTTCTCTTTTGGGACACCTCTAATAGATGAAATGCACACATACCTGAGTTCTGATATCTGCTTGGAAACCAACACTTGAGTTTGAACTTACTTTCAGCAGAGCTAAGGAGCCAACAGCACACTGCAAGTTGAGGGGCCAGTCCTTAGCAAAGGTGTGCAAATGACATCCTCCCCTCCCCCTGAGCTGCTCTATTGCACACCTGGCTTACCTGAGTCTGGAACACATTCTATCCTGGGGTGGGTGGTCTGTTGAGGGCAGGGGAAGGTTACCTTCCCAGCATGCAGCTGTGCTTGTAACTACCACCTGCTGGTGTGTACCAGGTCTGGCTTGGGAAAAGACAGAGCTATGTAGCTTTTGGCCCTTCTGAATCTGTCACCTCTGAGGCAGAAATCTAAAACTACACTTTCCTTTCAAATGGATGAGAGGTATTTCTTTTAGTATATTTCTTTGAATACACTGGTCATTATTTTACTCTTATAATAGCCGCAAATTACAAGGAAATTTCATGTACATATTCTTATTGCAAATTTTCCCTTTCCCCTCAAAAGATATTTGACCTCTTAAAATCTGTAGATATTTCATATAGTTTTAGACAAAGAAAGAACCTTAGAATCAAATATTTTTATTTTATCTTTGGGGAAACCAAAGTCCAGAGAAGAAAGAGACGTTCCTGAGGATAAAGAAACCAATAGAGGTGGAAATAAGCACTAGTGCTGATTCTCTAAACCTACTCCAAGAAGAAAACTAATACTTATAGGACCAAGCCCTGAGGCACAATGTTTTTAGGAAAATTAAATTAAAAGTCATTATTTTTAAAAGCCAAGCTTGTACTCTTTTTTCCCCACTATCTCCCCTTACCAAAGTGGATTCAAATACTTTCTACATTCTTGTTTGCAATACAGATAGATTCTTTTATTAGCAGTATAAATCCATTGTTCTGTAATGTGAATCCACGAAAAAGAAAATTAAATTAATAATCAGTAGTAATTCTATATAACTATTTTTTATTATTCTGAAGCTGGGTTTATGTATTCCAAGTTGTGCAGTGTGTTCACAATGGTCAGAATATGAATTAAGTTCACTGAGAACCAATAGGAGATTGTTTAGAAAACTTCTGTCAAGACAGTATCAGAATATAGGAAAAAGAAGACAAAAAA